GGCTACTACATGGTAAGAGACAGCCAATCATAATCAGCAGTTTTGAATTTATCAGCCAATGAAATCCTTGCTTTGTAACACACTGAGTCACTAGAGAGTGTAAACAAAACCTAGAGAGTGTAAACAAAACCAAATTTTCAATTCATTCCATGCAATTAAAACATTACACCACATTGCAACAGTTTTCATTTCAGGACCAATTAAATGAAATTTTGTCAATACTGTAATCCAGCTTTTATTCGCATGCTAGAAATATCTGCAAGTTTCATGGCCTTCTTTTCCTCAATGACTATTTATCACAGCGAACCATTTATTTGTGACTTTATGTAGAATGTTTCTTAATGGCGTAAATTAAAGTCATGGATAGAATTCAAACTGACGAATCCAGAATAAAAGTGTCACGAATATTAGTTGGTTTCACAGTTACTGTATTAGTCTGATCAACAGATAGCTCCAGATTACACTTGCGTTCAAAAAAATTAATTTTTTTTGTTTCTGTGTTTTGTACTTGGTCAATAATGGGATCCACATGATTCGTGTGTCATTGGTGAGAACTGAATCATTGTACACTGTTATCTCTGGTATTTTGGTGGTGTGTACAAATTCTAACTAAGAATAAATACATCAGCGGATACTTTTGAAAAAGACCTTATAAAAAGACCTGAGGGAAACATCTCACACTACTATTATAAATTAGTGTTGGATAACATTTTTAAGATGTATACTGTAAACCAACTTTTATTTGTGCGAGTTTTGCGACCTTTTACTTGCAAATATTTCTCACCATGAACTATTAATTTATTTCATTGTGTATTTATGAATACTAATTCCTCGGTCTCAAAAAATTAATTGTCATGAATGGATTTCAAACTGACAAATTGAGAATAATAGTCATTGTGAATAACAGTTGGTTTACATCATACAGTTATTTAGATGAATGGTCAAGATAGGCCATATCTTTGCAGATAAGCAAGAAAAAAAAAATTAATTTAAAAGTTGTATAAAATGAATTCGCTTATGTATTTATTCAGTAAACATATTGTGACAGTGTTGTTGATACCAGTGCTCAACTAAACCAACTAAACCAGAACACACATGCTGTACCTGTTATTCTCAATAGAACTTTATCTGATATTAGGAGACTGTTTAATGGACATGGCTTTTCATTCTTCCTACTTTACAGTACTTTCAGTACTTTGATTTTTACTGCACTGTCATTATTTATATCGCAAACTCAAAGTTGTCTGTAGACATAGTTGACTCCATAACTCTTATTCATCAATGATCAAGAAATAGGCTTTCTACATTTCTCTCCCTTTCTCTCTCTCATTCACAAATATTTGGAATGGTTTAGTTAAATATATTTCTCTGTTTTTATGTGTTTTTGAATTTTTCATAATTTTCAAAAGTCATGGGGCAGAGGGTTGTAGAAATCATTTTTAAACTACACGAAGGCAACTTGATAATGATTTCTACACTTCTTTTAGCCATTGCACAGGAGTTATGATTACTCTGAAACGTCTTATATTAAAACTTCTTTAAATACTGTTGACGTAAATTGAAAAAAAAATTGCTGTGGCATGGGTGACTCTTTGTAATGCTACTTGTACATACTATGTGTATGATATTTTGGGAAAAAGTTCTAATTTTTGATGTACATTGGAAATAAGTAAATCATAAAAGATAATGGTTTTAAGATAAATGCAGATTTTTGTCATTTCTGATTACATCCCCCTTTGTAATACTTTCCTATATGTAGAGAAATTAAGTTTGAGGGTTTTTTTTCTGACAAAATATGTAAAGTTTTTGATCCAGATGATAAGATGATTCTAGCCATGATCCAGAAAATAGATTCTAAATTTGATCAGGACATTAAATCAAAATTCTTGCTTTATTGTTGTGCAGACAATAGTCAGTTTCTAGTTTTGTTCAAGACAAAAGCTACATTCTAGCTTTGATCAAAACAATAGTCACATTCTAGCTTTGATCCAAACAAAAGTCAGATTCTAGCTTTAATCTGGACAGTAGTCAGATTCTAGTCTTGATCCAGACACTAGTCACATTCTAACTTTGATCCAGACACTAGTCAGATTCAAGCTTTGATTAAGACAATAGTCATATTCTAGCCTTAATCCAAACAATTGTCAGATTCAAGCTTTGATCCAGACAATAGTTGGATTCCTTATTTGATCCAGACAGTGCTTTGGTCAGATTCTAGCATGTATAATTTCCTTTTATGATGGCTCAAAGTCCTCCAGTGTCCTTTCCTTTCCCCCTACAGTGAATGACCCCTTAAAAAGATTCCTGCAGTTATTTGATGTATAAAGTACCTGCTTTCCTTGGACATGTTGAACAGACCCAGTTTTACTATAAAAATAATCCTGCATTTGGTTGTTGCAGAAAATAACAAGTACCTAAGACCGATGTGTGTCAGGTGTTGTGAGGATTTCAATTTTTTGGCAATAATTATAACTAAAGGTAATGAAAGATATTAATTTACATTGAAAGGAGATACCTGCATTTGAGCAAGGTGTGCATCTGTGAGTTGTTTAATGTTGCAGTCAGCAGCTATGAAAATGCATTCTAAATACTTTGAGGTATATTGTAAGTAAATGCTGTAATACCCTTGTCTTGATTTTTTTTCAGAATTTGAACCAAAATCCTAGAACATTGCTTCCGAAATTCTATGGATTCTATTGCTACCAGGTAAGGTATACAATGCACAATGAAAGTAACAAAACAAAGCACAAATAAATAAACAAAGAAACAAATGAACTAGCAAAAAAAAAAAGCCTGGGGGATAGATGGAGTACATAAATCCCTCCTGGTCAGATTGCTTGAATGGGTTACAGGTTACCTAAACAAACATAGTAAATAAAAAGAAATTTCAAATGTATGTGTATTTTCTTACAATAATTTACGCTTTCTTCACTTGCGTCATTTTCAGAAAAGGATAGTAAAAATAAATGAGAAGGTAACACTAGTTACATGTATTAACTTGTGTTACTTGTTTCAAGTTCATACAGTCAAACCTCATTATCTCGAACTCAGTGGGACCAAGAAAAAACTTCGAGATATCTGAGGATTCGAGATATCCAGGGTAAAATATTTAAAGAATAAGGGTCTGGGACTTTCAAATCACTTCGACATATCCATGATATTCGAGATATCAGTATTAGAGATACCGAAGTTAAACTGTATTTCATTTGATTTCTTGGATTCATTCAAGGAGTGTTTGTGGCATCCCAAATTTTTGTGTTTCTTGATGGAATCAATTTGGAATGACATTTATCCCTGAAAGGAGACAACAGCAATATTTACAAAAAGAATGAAAAGTTTTATTTATACACACACTTGAATATTTTAGTTGCCGACATATAACAAAAAATGATTTTTTTTTCCAGTGTGGAGGCAAAAATATTCGATTTGTTGTCATGAATAATCTTCTACCTTCTTCCGTCAAACTACATGAGAAGTATGATTTGAAAGGAAGTACATATAAACGAAAAGCCTCAAAAGCTGAGAGAAAAAAGTCCAGTCCAACATTAAAAGACCTGGATTTCCTGAACAATAATCCAGAGGGAATCCTGCTGGAGAAGGATAAATATGATGCTCTCATTAAAACCATACAAAGAGATTGCAGGGTAAGCCAGAATATTGAGTTTGTCAAGTTTAAGGTGCAGTACTAACAGGCCTTTGATTATTTCATTTCTGAAATCTTTTTTTTTTTTTAAATTTGCTTGCTTGTCAACATTGAATTATTAAACAAGTATGAAATGGAGCACAATTGACCTGCATGTTGACAAGAATTTGACAAAAAAAATAGATGTGAAAGAAATAAGTTCATTAACAAATCATTATTTTGATCAAACTTTTAAATTATTCAATACTTTTTTTTTTTATGCAGGTGCTAGAAAGTTTCAAGATCATGGACTACAGCATGTTGCTTGGCATTTACAACATAGATATTGCAGCTCAGGAGGTAATGTAGATTCTTGGGTCAGCTTTGTTTATTTATAGATTTTTATGAAGTCAGCTGATTTTTGTGGGTCAGCTGAGTTCTGTAGGTCAGCTGTGTGTTGTAGGACAGCAGAGTTTTAGCAGGTCAGCAGAGTTTTTTATTTACATGTAGGTCAGCTTAGTTTGGAAGCTAAGAGTTTTGTTCATCAGCTGAGCTTAGGTCACAAGATTGAGCTCTGGTGATCAGCATCTGTCTGTGTCTGTTAATTTCAATTTGTGTTGTCCATTGTTTGTATTATGTTTTTCTCATTTTCAACTTCTTCTGTACCACTGAGTCAATTTCAACCAAACTTTTCACAAGGTTTTGGAAGTCAACTTTTTCAGACTTTGTCTGGAAATCTGAGTGTCAGGTTGACATGAAACAAACAGACCAGAATTGCTGTTGACAAGTTTTGGAATAATATTGAAATGAATAATAAAAGAATGGGAATTTAAAAAGAAAAATGCATTTATCAATATGGTAAAGGGGGAAAAAACTGTATGATTTCATATTCACTCTACATGTACTTTCAATCAAATCTTGAATTTAACAAATAGGTCATAACTTATGTTAGAGGTTCATAATCATAAAAGATATCGAGAGAATGCACAAATTAAACCATCCACAACAAGCTGACATAGAGAAAAAGATGAATTTTTATCCAACTGTATACAGCATTAAAAATGATCTTAATATTTATTGAATTGACATAAGAATTAAATTACTTCTTTATTGACAAAACAATGCTTCATTTTATTATAGAGGAAGAAACAGAGGCCGTCATTCAGCACGGCAGCTAATCCTGATGTGTCGGCAATGTCCGACTACCCCCTCCAAACAACCCTATCGCCAGACCAGGGACAAGAATCAGGTGGTCGCACGTCTCGAGCAGGTCTGCTTACTAACAAAACTCACCAGGATGTTTATAAAACTCTTCACTGGCTAATTTTGTAGACCATTGTTTCTCAATTCTAAGGATCAAGGGGTCGAGACCTAGTGTTCAGAGTACACAGAATGACACATAAATTGTAGAAATTAATTATAAAAATATTGAAGGAAGAGTAGATGGAAGATTTTTTTAATGCACTTTTGGATCAAGTTAAAATTTTTGGCTTTTTTGCAATTTTAAAATATCATCATTTGGAGATCATGTAAAATTATTATGAATGAACTGAAAACTGCAGAAAATTTTTATAAGCTAAAAAAATGAGTGAGATACATGTAACCATAAATGATTTTGTATCTGTGAAGAATATTCATTTGTTTATTTTGGCAAATTTGTAAGGTCATTCAAGCTGTGAAGAGGGTTTGGATTTATTTTACAGACGTGCATTTTATGTTCAATCAATCTTCAAATATATTTCAAAATAAAGTTAACATATCGTATAACATATATTTATATAATATATAATTAACATTTTTAACAAGCACAACAAATATTACTAGTGCTTTATTTATTAATAACTTTGGTGACAGGTATACTAGCAGTGTGGATTTAATGATATTATTTATCCGGATATAAATGGATTGGGCTTTTTTATGGTGTGAGCTTTTTCTATGATAAAAATACTGAAACTCTATCAGAAAGAAAAAATATCTGAGAAAAGCACTTGATGAGAATTATAACATGCTGTACTGATTATTGTTAAGGTCAAGATTACATTTTTAGCTCACCTCAACGAAGTTGGGGGAGCTTATGTAATACCCTCGGCGTCGGCGTCCAAGGTTAAGGTTTTTGGAGCAGTTTTCTTTTCAAGTACTTCTGTGGCCTATATTAGTCAGAGATGCATGGAGGATGCTTCTAGTGTGTTTCATTGTACCAGTCAAGGTTTCAGATGCTGCAATTTCAGCTAAAGAATAACCAGGTTAATGTTTTTGGAGCAGGTTGAAGTTTTTGGAGCAGGTTAAAGATTTTGGAGCAGGTCTCATTTCCAAGTAACTATAAGCCCTATATTGACCAAACTTGCATGGATGATACATTTAAGGATGCACACTACTGAACATGCTTCGGATGCTGGATCTGACCTACATTTTCCGGATGAGTGACTAGGTTAAGGTTTTTGGAGTAGATCTCATTTCCAAGTAACTATAAGCCCTATATCGACCAAACTTGCATGGATGATACATCTAAGGATGCACACTACTTGACTTGCTTTGGATGCTGGATCTGACCTATATTTTACGGATGAGTGACCAGGTTAAGGTTTTTGGAGCAGATCTCATTTCCAAGTAACTAAAAGCCCTATATTGACCAAACTTGCATGGATGATACATTTAAGGATGTACACTACTGGACTTGCTTCAGATGCTGGATCTGACCTATATTTTATGGATGAGTAACCAGGTTAAAGTTTTTGGAGCAGATCTCATTTCCAAGTAACTATAAGCCCTATATTGACTAAACTTGCATGGATGATACATCTAAGGATGCACACTACTGGACTTGTTTCCAGCTTCGGAAGCTGGATCTGACCTACAGACCCTGAAACGTGCTACTACCCCACACGCACGCTGCACGAACGGTACACGCTCGCTACACGGTTTGCACGAAACGCTGCACGGTTTACACGAAACGCTACACGGTTTACACGAAACGCTTTGCACGAAAGGCTGCACGGTTTACACGAAAGCCTGCACGAAACGCTTTGTACACGTTTCTCACACGCTTTGTACACGATTCTCGCACGCTTTGGCCTCGATCTGGATTTTCTATTCGGAATCTCTCGGACTTTATTTAAATTATTACGGATTAATCAAAGATTAGTTAAGAATTGCAATCATTCAGTTTAAGATTAAAACTCGCTACACCAGTACTATATTAACAGGTAAAATACTCAATCTTCGGTTGTAATTAATTAATACAGATGTAGTTATCATTGAGTATGTGCCCTCTCGGTGAAATGCTTATCATCGTCTATGTAGAAACCTTTTTAAATAGACTCTAAATTACGCACTGAAAAAAATTATTATATTTGTAATTCATAATCTTTTATAGCATCCAATGTTTTTACAATTAGCCTATAGTTTGATATTAAAAAGTCGTTTCATTACTGACAAATAAACTCAGTTATTGATTTGAAAAAAATAAATGATTAAATTGCGTATGGTTTTTGAAAGCGAATTGATTTTCTTTTCTTTCTTTTTCAATTTTTGATTGATTTATTCATTTTTTGATTTATAAAAAAAAAAATATATATTCATTGGATTAGTTTAGGTTCTGTTTATAATTTGAAAAAGTGACATGTACACTACATTGTGCAGGAAGGGGGGGGGGGGGGGGGGGGTAGATTACCGAGATCTTGCTGTTGTATCTTCGAATCTGTACACGGCTAAATATAACGGGCACTTGTTTCAGTTAGTATAACATTGGGGGAAATATTATTATAGAAACAGGTGCCCATTCTAAGAAAATAAAAGGATATCCAGAGGGACCAGATACATGTAATTCATTAAATGCACTTTATTCAGAATGATAAATATTCGTTCTCGTTCTCGTTTGAGGCATCGTGTTTATCAAATAAAAACAATATATCCACCACCTTGTAAAATCCTTGATTTCAAACCCCGTCTAGACAATTAAAAAAAAGTAATCAAAAGTCACGGCTTTTAGCAATACATTCAATACACATGTATGTACATGTCCTATGTCCTATAAACTAAAAATTATGCTCTGTAATTGCGTGATTAATAAAACAACTAATAATTACACTGTACTCAAGATTTATTTCTATATATTTTTTTTATTCGCTAATACACTGGCAAATTAATTCACTGTTTACAGACAATCGGATAAATTTAAGAAATAAAATCCACGGACCGTATTTATTTGTACCCATTAAATACTAATAAAACGATTTAATTTCACTAATCAAAATCAATCGTTATTGTCCCGTGTCATCTTAGCTATGATTGACAAGAGATAATAACAGAACAAGTTTTCAGTTCCCGGCACGAGGTGCCCGTGATCGCTGTTGTGAATGACCTTGATCACTGTCGTAAGAAGAGTGTTGGAACGTGTAAAGAAGATTCTAGTATATTTTTAAGGGATGCATATAGCAATAGATTTCTTTAAAAACAAAATTATGTATAAAACACTTAACAACAAAAGCTCAGTTTGTGTTTTCATTTGAACACCCCCCCCCCCCGGAAATAATTTACCCTGTATTTGCCGAAGCATGTGAATTATAATTCATTTATGTGACAATTATTAACCAATTGTATGCATAAAAAGACTATAAATGATTCTTCGTTTCAACATTATTTGTAACACAATCTTGTGATATAAGAAAATTATGTTCGTTTATAAAGAAAATGAATTAACTGTGCTCCCCGGCCTAGAATTCCCATACTTCACATTTATAGCAACGCACTAAATTTTGTATTTTATTTTTCACGCCTGCCTTATCTATCTATTATTTTGTATTAATCACCAATAGGTTCCTGTAATCTTTATATACCATAATTGTAAAATGGTGAAGAGATTCAAATGAATGAATGAAAAGGACAAGACCGGGTTCTTGGTGAATTTTCTTTTTTTAAAAAATGTTTAGTATTGCCCCCTTTAAAAAATGTATTGAATCAAATACCTCTAAATTGATGTACATATAATTAATTACTTTGAACATATTTTATGTCCATCTTTATTTTTTTAAAAAAGGAAGAAAAACAAACAAATATGTAATACATTACCGAGTAATTTTATTTAATTTGTTGTTTCCGTATTTTTATTTTATACCACCGGTAATATATGCGAATAATATTACTTACAAACAACACAGAATGACATGTTGATCCATCAATATCCATATTTAAAATAAAATGACTTCCGAATGAATCCTACACGTTTTTCACACGATTCTTGCACGAAAGTCGCACGTTTCTCACACGGTTCTTACACGAAAGTCGCACGTTTCTCACACGCTTCTCGCACGCTCGCTACACGGTTTGCACGAAACGCTTTGGAGCTTACACGAAACGCTGCACGGTTTACACGAAACGCTACACGGTTTGCACGAAACGCTGCACGGTTTACACGAAACGAAAAGCGCACGAAAGTCACACGCTTTTTTGGGGTAGTAGCACGTTTCAGGGTCTGTATATTTTCCGGATGAGTGACCAGGTTAAAGTTTTTGAAGCAGATGTCATATCCAAGTAACTATAAACCCTATATTGACCAAACTTGCATGGATGATACATCTAAGGATGCACACTACTTGACTTGCTTTGGATGCTGGATCTGACCTATATTTTACGGATGAGTGACCAGGTTAAAGTTTTTGGAGCAGATCTCATTTCCAAGTAACTAAAAGCCCTATATTGACCAAACTTGCATGGATGATACATTTAAGGATGTACACTACTGGACTTGCTTCAGATGCTGGATCTGACCTATATTTTATGGATGAGTAACCAGGTTAAAGTTTTTGGAGCAGATCTCATTTCCAAGTAACTATAAGCCCTATACAGTGCAGGGAACTAATTTTGTTACATAAACCAGCATCAGCATAAGCATTAGTAGCATCAGGATCGGGCTAGCATCAGCATTAATAAAACAGCATTACCGGGATCAGCATCAGCAAGCAAAGGATAAAACCAGCATTGACCTACATAAAATCAGCATTATCCTACTAGCATCAGAAAATCAATGAGTTTTAATTCAGTAAAAAATTAAAAAAGAAAGAAAGAATGTTGGTTAAAGTATTCAAATTGTTGATACATAGTGAGATATTATGATCAAATAATTGTAAAAGGCACTTTTATTGCTTTAAACGGCAATGCTGAAATTCATTATCTATTTCCGGTAGCATGATGCTACTTCCGGTAGCATTGACCTAATTATAAAACAGCATCAGGATAAGGATAACTAGCATTAAATCAGCAAGCAAAGGAAGCATTCAAATCAGCAAGCAAAGGAAGCATTCAAATCAGCATTGATGCTGTATCAAAATTAGTTTCCTGCACTGTATTGACTAAACTTGCATGGATGATACATCTAAGGATGCACACTACTGGACTTGTTTCCAGCTTCGGAAGCTGGATCTGACCTATATTTTCCGGATGAGTGACCAGGTTAAAGTTTTTGAAGCAGATGTCATATCCAAGTAACTATAAACCCTATATTGACCAAACTTGCATGGATGATACATCTTAGGATTCACACTACTGGACTTGCTTCAGATGCTGGATCTGACCTATATTTTCCGGATGAGTGACCAGATTAAAGTTTTTGTAGCAGATCTCATTTCCAAGTAACTATAAGGCCTATCTGAACCAAACTTGCATGGATGATGCATCAAGGGACGAACAATCTCAAAACTTGCTTCGGATGCTGAATTTGACTTACATTTTCTGAATGAGTGTCTAGTTTTAAGTTTTCAGATAAGTCCATTCCCAAGTAACTGCAAGCCCTATCAGACCAAAATTGCATAAATGTTGCATCTAGGGATGCACACTCCTAGATTATTAGTTTAGTGTGGGACTTTGCCTTACTTAAAGACAACATTCGTTGAGGTGAGCTCTGTAATCTCTGATTACCTATGTTTATAAGATAAAATTCAACAATGATAATTTTAAGGTAACATCTAATGACCATGTTTATTAAATAAGATACTGTTATTATTTATTTAGGAATTCAAATCATATTTTATTAAATGAAATACATTTATGTCATGAATGTTTATTTTGTAGGTTTAGCTCCACAGAGAACTAAATCCATAAAGACCCGAGTCGCCCAATACACAACTCCAATGGAGTCCATCACAGCTAAATCAACAGAGTCAGATGAGGAAGATCAAGAGGAGGATGAAGAAATTCCGTAAGGCCACAGCCCTTTCTTTGTGGGCACATGCTGCCACAACCCTTTCCTTATGGGTAAATGCTCTTTGTGGGCATACACTGCAACAACCCTTTCTTTGTGGGCAGATGCTCATTGTGGGTATATGCTGCCACAACCCTTTATTTGTGGACCGTTGCTCTTTGTGGGCATATGCTGCACAACCCTTTCTTTGTTGGCAGATGCCCATTGTGGGCATATGCTGCCACAACCCTTTCTTTGTTGGCAGATGCTCATTGTGAGCATATGCTTCCCCGACCCTTTCTTTGGGCGCAGATGCTCTTTGAGGGCATATGCTGCTACAACCCTTTCTTTGTGAGCAGATTTTCATTATGAGCATATGCTGCCATGACCCTTTCTTTGTGAGCAGATGCTCTATGAGGGCAGATGCTGCCACAACCCTTTCTTTTTGGGCAGATGCGCTTTGAGGGCAGAAGCTGGTGCAACCCTTTCTTTGTGGGCAGATGCTAGTGCTGTGCAATATTACTGATTAACTGTTTAATCCCCATTTGGTTGTTCACTGCTGTGCGGGTTCAATATTCTGAAAATTTTACTGAAAGAGTTACTTATCCTTGTTCAAGTAAAATGTGGCTGCAAACAATGTGAAATTGATTAGAAACGAAAAGAGAAAAGCTGCTACATAAAACCACTTGAAGTTAGAGCTCTATGCAACTTTTGAAACTATTAAATATTCTTGTGGCACAACAAACTCAGCTAGCTTTTTTTTTTTGATTTAATAAAAAATATATTAAATTTGGGCAAATGCTATACTTGATAAAAAAAAAAAAATTCAGTTAAGTAGATAACCTAATTTAAAAATTCTGTCCCTTTTTAGTATAATTAAACTCTGAAATTTTGAATGATATGACTTACTAAGAGATTGCTGTCCAGCATTAACTGAGCAGTATTTTACAATAGTATAGTGTTGTAGTTGAACTGAAATGTCTCTTTCCTTTATCAGAGAGCTAAGAAATTAAAGGTTGATGGGTTTTTTTGGCTTACCGTAAATTCAGAGCTTTCAGTAAAGAAAAACAAATGAACTTGCATTTTTTTAAAGGCCTGGAGGCATTCCTGCCAAGAACAGCAAAGGGGAGCGACTCATGCTTTACCTGGGAGTGATTGATATACTACAGAGCTACCGACTAAAGAAAAAGATTGAGCATACCATGAAATCTATTGTTATTGATGCAGTAAGTAAAATTCAGCTTGAAGATGAACATGATTTGTATGTGATATTTCTCTGATAAGAGAGTAAACACAGTGACTGTATGAAAGGGGAAGACTTTAATTTGATATTTCCCTGAATAATGAGTTAATACAGCAACTGTAAAGGTTTGAGTTTTTTGCTTTCCTACCCCCTTGGCAGCTTATTGAGGGTGTTTGAATTTGTGAAAATGGAGAAGTTTGTCTTCAATGTGTATCTGATAATCTTTTAACACACATTTATAGCATATTAATTTCGTCAATGTGATACTATTTACATGATTAAAAGTGCAAAATAATGAAAATTTACTCAATAAATTTTTGTTCCTCCTATGCAGTTTGCTAGGCTTTGTGGGAAATGTGTTAATTTTCATAATTTTTTCACCCATATTCTCTTTTTGAAACCCTGGCACAGTGTTTTGTGAAAATAAAATTCATACTTTCTGTTTCAACTGTTTAATAGGACAGTATATCAGTCCACAGACCAAGTTACTACTCCCATAGATTCCAAGATTTTATGTCAACAAAAGTCTTCAGAAAAATTCCAACTCGTAAGTACATTTAAGATAAATCTATTCAGTTAAAATAATTATTGCTTGATTGCTAATTAATTTTAGTAGCTGCACTTTATTTAGCTCTTTTACATCTCTATCAACCAAAACATTCTAGGAATAAGAGAGTGTTGTGTTTTTTAAGGTATCTTTTAAATACGAGGAAATTGGATTTTTATGTGGTTTTTATTGAGGAACTTGGCTTCAGATTTCTTCAAAAATTCTTAAAAAGAAAAGTAAAGAAACTATGAAGTTATTTTTCTCAATATTTAGATTCCTTTGATAAAATTTTAAGAAAGTGATTTAGAGGAAAAAAAGGCTATAGTGAATCATGTTTATGATATTTTTTATTTAATGTAGAAATGTGTTTATATCATTCAGGGTATTAACTTGTATGTTGTGGAACCACCTGTTTTTTTCTTCATTTTTTTAAAACGAATTCTTACAGTTACGGCATAGTAGTTATTGTATACTTTTAAGTAGAACATATTTTAGATATAAATTTTCCTGACTGATTTTTACACATTCTCAAGCTGTTTTGTTTTGAAGCACAGGCACACATTCCTCCAAAGGCTGTATGAGCCCAGTTTATATATACATATATATATATATTTAACAATCCTCTCTGCACTTTGTAATGCATCACATCTGAAGAGATTCAATTAATGCATTTATTTTAAAAAATCTAATACCTTTGATATTTGCTTTCCAAATGTTAACTTAAACTTAATGGAAGTGATTGTGAAGAACTTTATACTTCCAAACATTCAGCCATTTAGTGAGATGAATAAGATAACCAATTGAAGTAAAATTTCTTTTTATTTATGTTTAATTATTATGTTTCATATTAATGGTAATTAAGCTTATATCATAAGCATCAGTATTTGAAATAAATTCTGTATATGACAGAAAAACTGTTTGTTTTCACATGTAGTTTAACATTCACCAGACAAAGTTATAGATATAGGTTTTTAAGTTTTTCGTTATTCTTAAAAGTATGCTTTGACAAACTGGTTGTATAATCAAATTCAAATGGTCTTAACTAATGAAAACTAAATTTGTTTGTCCCTTTATGATGGACATTTATCATGCCAGTAAGTGTGTTTAACTTATTACATAAAAAACCTTAAGGTAAATATGTATGTGTGATTATACAAAGCAGGTACAAAATAGACAGTGCTTTGAAAAGTCATTGTAATAAACAATATCATATTAATAGATTATAATATTAACAGAATTATAACAATAAGGAAAAAATATCAGATTAAGTGGGACATACATACTATGGCTGAATGTGACTTTTTTTTGCAATTTCGTTTTTGACTTCTGTTTCTTCTTTTATGCTTCCCCCTCTCAGTGGAACCGCCTAGCTTTAGGGCCACACAGCGCTTCCGCAAAATTGTCAATCTAGGTAATGGCTTGATCCTATCAGTTCTGTGCAATGTCTTGTCCAGTGAAAATGAAAATATTTTGTTGACATTAGATTCAGTGCTTTTACTTTCAGTTTTTACTTTTTCGGTGAACTTGGCAAAATTGTATGTAGTTGATATTTGTTAAAGTGTATTTGTAATGTGCTTTTGTTTTCTTAGGTTTGTTGGCAAAAGCAATTTTTTTTAAAAAAATTATTATTATAATCAAATGAATATAAAGACTATAAAGAGAGCCTTACGAGAGTTGAAAAAGGGGGGAGAGGGAGAAAAGAGAGAAAGAAAAACAAATGCTTAAACAATTTTAGAACAAGTGGTCATGAAATCATAATGACAGTTATTCTGAGTGTTGTGGTTACGCTTTATGCTTCCATGATTAAAGGCAATTGCCCATTTAGTTTTTAGTGTGCCTGCTTGCTAGTTAGTCTTGTAAAATTTGAGAGATGATTATGAAGATAGTTCAAGGCTATATCTGCAAGGTCAAGGTCAAAAGTTAACAATAGAGAAACTAGTGATGGAATTGTGTTCCACAAGCATGTTATGTTGGAACTCTGATTCTGTAATGTTATATCATGTGAAAATTATTTACATGCATCATGTTAAGCACAACCATGTTTTAAAACAGATCGTTTTAGAATGTGAAATTGGCTCTGATACCCTGTAATAGAACATGTGAAAATTCTTTTATTTTGTCATGTTCATATATGCATGTACAGTGAACTTGGGTGAACTTTTTAGGGGGAAAAATGGTTTTTGAACTTGATATCTGAAAAATTCCAGAAATAATATATAATTGAGTTGAAATAGTTACTTTAATTCTCAGATATAATTTGCTGTTACATATCAATGATCTACTTGACTGATTGTTTCAGAATTCAGTAAAGTTACAACTTTTTGCTATTTTTTTTTTTTTAAAGATCTACGCCAGAAATGGGGTATGGTTAAATTTCTTCTTTTAAATTTCATGAAAATGTACATTCTGCATTTTAAGAGCACACTTTTCTGCACGAACATCTAGTCCAAAGAATTTCATTCTTCATAATTTTTTTTTCAGTGTCATTCCTATATAATTGCTAGACTAAGTGTCTTGTACTGAAATGAATACAAATTTATTTCATGACATCTAAAACTTCATTTTTCATATTTATAATGCAAATATACTTACATGCATGTTTTTGGTATGACTTTTCTACTTTAAGAAAAACAATAAATTTCAATCATATCCATACAATAAGTATTAATTATTATACCATATTTTGAACTGTCAATCATGTATATTCAATGGTAATATGTATTTACAACATACAATTTAAATATTTTACACTTGGTTATAGAAACTTAACTACATGTAAGTTATATGAATTAAGGTTCACTGACCCTCTGCTAAAGGAGATAGCTTTCACTAAAAAAAATCAAAAATTAAGAATTGTCAAGTTAAGCATGTTAAGAGGTGAATTTTGTCAGATTTTGCACAGCAGTATACCGTATATCAGGGTTTTTTTTCGCGTGTTGCAAGTTTTGCGAAAAAGGGTAGATTTGTACAGTTTTTATTTTGCATAAGTTATTTTTTGCGATTAAATAAAAAATAATAAAAAAATCGTTAACGTTTTTATGGCACACAATAACCAATATAATTTCTGTGTGTGTACTGTATGCGATTTAAAAATGATCGCAAAAGATGCAAAAATAAGATCATCGCGAAAAAAATGGATATACGGTATGCTGAAGTCCACAATTCAATTATAGTTTAGATATCTTTTGGAAACTTGTAATCATTAAAGCAAAATTTTATATGACTAAACAGTGGGATGGTGAACCTTAAATTAACAAAAGTTAAAAAGTCCGATAAAAAGGATGGAATTACTACTGCCACACCAGACATCATTTAGACGTAAGTGTTCATGAATCATTCATTTGGGCCGATCTTTTCATATATATGGTACATTTATACGCTTATAAATTATGTTAATCAACATTTACATAAATAACTGAAATGTCATCATGGTCATCAGTTTTTGCTTCCAGCTTCCAGGAAGGAACTTTAATTTTGGATTTTTTTTTTTAATGAAATAAAGAGTACAGTTAATCTTGTAACTTTAATTATGATTATAAACATGATAAATATAATTAATATGCTTAAAAATGATTTATAAATGAGAGGTGTCAATGTTAATTGTAAAATTCACAAGTCAAATGAGTTATTTTTTAAGGTGTCATTTTTTTATGCCATTAGCCATACTTGCCATCACATTGTGTAAACATTTTGATTTTCCTCTTAGAAAGTTTTCGTAAAATTTAAAAATAAAAAAATAGTATGTAGAAAGTCATTCATCATTGGATTAGAGAAGAAACTGTCTGTGAGAACTTTATAGGTTGTCCATTCCTCTGTCACTCATATAAAATTTTGCTTTAATGTAAATGATTTTCCCAAATAATTATAATTTATAATTAAATTATTCACACAATTGCAACATATGTTGCTGGGCAAAATTTTGCAGAAATAGACTGTTTACTAGACAATTTTATTAAGGAATATTGTAAACCAACTTATTCATTTAATACTAGAAATATCCACGAATTTTGCATTTTACTCAGTCATGAATATTTCACTGTGACACTTCGAACTATTTATTTCATTGTCCATTTGTGTAGAATAATGACAAATTGATGGATGAAAGAAAAGTAAATTTTATTAACTTTGCCAACTATTCTCCAAAAATAAATGATTAATTAAAATTTCTTTTTCTTGTAGCTTTGAAACACTCTCCTTCCAAGCGCAAGACAAATGTAGGCAAACGAATGAACACAGTGTCTGAATCCGAAATCCTACCTGAATCTTCAAGGTCAGAAGCAAGGACACGGTCAATTAGCTTCCCAGATGAAGATGATCAACCAACAGGTTTGTACATGTATAGTCACAGACCAGCCTATCCTTCAGCTTCTGGTGTATTTCTACCACTTTTCATCACTTAATTACACTATTACACCATCAAGATCTATTTTATGCTTCTAAAGTGTCATGCTTAAAAATGTGCTATTTAGAGGTTTTTTAAATGAACGTCTTTCTGCTGAGTTTAAGCACAACCTACTAATATGCATATACAAGATCTGTAAAACACTCTTATATATCAAGGGGGCTATAGTTCTTTAAGAGTGCAACACAGAGTTATTTATGGTAATTAAGATGGCTTCCATGCGGCACATGTCGAAAAATTTTGAAGAAGAAGCAAAATAATGCAAAATTTAATACATGATGTAATTATGTGCTTTTAATACTACTGAAAGATTAAATTAGTTTTGATTTATGACATGAATATTCATCATGGACCTCACACACAAGGATTGATGACATCTTGGCCTGGTTATCATAATATTGGGTCTGAAATTTGGAGTCTTGACAAAATGTGGGATAATCTGCATAATTTACATAAAGAGCTTTGCCCGTTACGCATAAATTATCCCACGTTTCCAACTGTCATTAATGATCTGGCATACCTAACAAACTAGACAGTGATTCCTTGTATTTACATTTATATATAAAATAAAAATGTAAATAAAAATCAAAGAATTGAAGCACACAAGACATTCTATGTAAATTTCAATAGTCCCCACTCACTGACGTCAAACAGAATTACAACTGATGCATATTAGGCACTTGACCTTTCATTTGACAAAATGTACATTCAGTTTGTAAGTATCAAGAAATTAAAACCCCTAACTTTCAAAGAGTAAACACAGAGAAAACAGTTGGAGATGTAAATATTACAAAATCATAACACTCACAGTCGCATGAACTGTAAATGTGAAAATTTACAGATGGGGTTAATTTTACACACGGGGTATTTTATTCATACTTGAGTAGTCTGATAATGGATTTAAAGGTCCTTTGGCTATTTTACAAGTCATGGTCTTTCAGATTTCTAAAATGAAATTTTCATCCTTATATGACAACTGGAAATAAAAAGTGATTGTAACTTAATTGATTTGAATTACAGTCAAACCTCAATATTTTGAACTCTATGGAACTGAGAAAAAAATCAGAGTATCAGAGGATTCGAGATATCGAGGCTAATTAAAAATATTTAAAAAAGAATAAGTTGTTGGGACTTCCAAATCACTATAGTATAGCCATGTTATTTGAGATACCAGTGAAGTTCAACTGCATTATTTTGTAGGAAGAAGAGGAGGCAGGCCAGATCTTCTTCCAGAAAATTCGACGCCACCGCCTACATTTGCGGAGGCCATAGCCTCCAAATCTGATACTTCTCCAAGAGGTCAGGACATTAAAATGTCAAGGTAATTGCAAGGTTGTCAATTTATTACAAGTTACCATGGAGAGTTTTCTAATTTTAAATTTTTATCTATTTTTGATGTACACAGATTGAAATTTTTCAATTATGGGCAGTCAAGAGTATGATTCTCATGCAAATCTTTTCTGATGGTGGAAAAATATTAAAGAAATTTTTTAGCTAATCTCCCTCAAGTCAAAATGAACTACCCCACTCCATGATTTTACTGAATGCAAAAAAAAAAAAAAAAAAAATAGATGACTGATTTTGCTATTTTATAATCATAAGAATTAATATTTATGTTACAAACAAATTTAGAAGTAATTCAAGGATATTTTTAATCTGCCAAAAGCTCAAATTATTTGCATTCCATTGCAATCAATACACAAGTAAACAAACAAGTTGACCCTTTGCTGTTAAATGGAAGAATTGTAACATTGTGACCTAATTCGTTTCTCTATAAAGGAAATGATTAGTCATATTTTCGAGCTGTTAGTAGAATAGAAATAAAGCTCTTGTTGTCATGAATGATGCAGTATAACCTCTGAGGTCGAGAAATCTCGTTTTTAATTTTTAAATAATATTATGAAAGCCAAGGCGTTCGCCTGCTCAAAGGTTATCCTGCAACATTCCCAAAAATACAAACTTTATTTCACAATTTTAACCTGTATATTAATAGGTCCTGGCTTGAGGAAAACTTAAAAAAAATCATCTTTATTTATGATTTGTCTCATTTTTATTTTTTATCAAAAAATTGATTGAAGTTTTAATACCATTTTATCTGTAAGAAAATGGACATATCATTGGGAATGTATAATTTCTTATGTATTCAGTCGGATCCCTGGAGCACTAGGATCAACATTCCAGACCAATCCAGCTGACACCACTTATCCAGTCTCCCCAAAAATGTCAAGTCTCCGGGGATCTCCACCTCTGAGTATTTCAGAATCGACCCCTACACACACGGAGTACACGGAAGGCACTCCCAGCTACACCCCCTCCTCACCCAGCTGTTACAGTGATATTGGTCAGTGTGAACAACACCCCATTTTCAGACCTGCCCACCCTTCCTCTTTTGGTGTACTTCTTCTGAATTTTATTACAAAATTACATTAATACGCCTTAAAAATCAATGTTATGCTTTTAGGATGTTAGGCTTAAAAATTTTTAGTTAGAGGTTATTTTTAATGGACTTCCTTAGAATTTATGCCAATAAATAAGTTGAAGTTATGTTTTTTATTAATTTATATGAAAAATTCATAGGGGCTGATTTAGATTTATATGAAATAACATTCAGAAACCAGAGTAGAAAAATACATAGAGTTACACCTTTGTCTCTGAAATTCCATAAAATTAGGTTTGAGATTTCACCTCTGCAATGAAAAGAATGGGCAGGTCTGCATTTTATGGGATCTGACAGATTTGATTTTAGCTCATCTCAGCTGAAAGCTTGAAAGTGAGCTTTTCTGATTACATTTTGTCTGGTGTCCATCTAGCTGTCCTCACTGTCTGTCTGTAAACTTTTCACATTTTTTGACTTCTTCTCCAGAATCACTTGGCCACTTTCAACTAAACTACCACAAAACATCCTTGGGTGAAGGGGATTCAAGTTTGTTCAAATTAGGGCCATGTCCTTTACAAGGGGAAATAATTAAGAATTAGTGAAAATTTGGTGGCATCCTCTTCTCAAGAACCACTGGGTTAGAGAAGTTGAAACTTTCATTACCAAGGGTAGATTCAAGTTGGTTCAAATCTAGACCTCCACGGGTTGAATGGGTCCACAACGAGGGATCAAAATTTTAAAATATAGGATTCTTCTTCTCAAGAACAACAAAGCTATGTTTAATATTCACATTGATATGAGGCATCCTCAGGTAGTGTAGATTCTAGTTTGCTCAAATCATGACCCTCAAGTGGTAGGATGGGGCCAAAATGGTTTGACATATGGGAATATAGGAAAAAATCTTTACTAAACTTCTGCTCAGTATGCTCAAGAACAGCAATGCCATGATTAGTCATATTAATATGGAAGCATCCTCAGATTGTGTAGATTCAAGTTTGTTCAAATCATGACCCCCAGTGGTAGGATAGGGCCAGTCTTTAAAAATTTTCTTCTCAAGAACAGCAAAGCTGTGATTAGTCACACAAATATGGAAGCATCCTCAGATAGTTTAGATTCAAGTTTGTTCAAATCATGACATCTGAGGATAGGGAGGGGATCAAAGTTTTAGAAAGCAGTATATAATTATATGAAAAAAAAATTGCTGATGAAGAATGGCAGGGCCATATTGACTCACGTGAGCATTGTGGCTCATGAGCCTTTTGTTTTGTTTTTGGATGGGAAAATGAAGGAAATTTTATTTTATTTTTTTGAAACTAGAGTTAACAGAATATTTAAATCTTGGAATGCCTCTTTTTGCATATTTTAAAATTATCTGACTATTCCAATCTTGTCTTTTTTTTTATTTTCAGTAAATTATCGTATCAGTGTTTGCTTTATAAGGGTAAACTGGAATAGAGTGAAAACTAATTGATGGAATTCTTGAATAATTTAACGTCATGATTACTATGTTGAAAATTGATGAAAAAAAAGAACAATTTAGATGACGATATTTCTTTTGCTTAGAACCAGCATTTCAAGCTGAATTGGACAAGGAACATCTAACTTCAGCGACTGGGACGTCTATCTCAGGATTAACAATTTCAAATGTCTCTAACACAAGTCAAAACACTGATAGTGCTTCACTGACTAAAACAGTGATCAGAATCCCTGATAATGACAAACATTCAAGTGTTGAGGATCACGGGGGCAAACATTCAAGTGAACAAGATATAAAACATTCAGGTGAAAAGGATCAAGCATCCTCTGCACCTGACATTCCATTGACTTCCACAAACAGAGAGGAGGATCCAGGATCAACAGGGGTGGATCTAGCAGAAAGTTCTTCAAAAGAAAGCAGTGCTGTAGAAATGGTAAGCACCTGTTATCCTCTATGGTTGTCTTAAATGTGTTCAGTGTTAGTTTGTTGATATGCATTACCATGGGGCAGTTTTGTGCCTAACATTAGGTTTGATGGGTGTGCACACATGTAGGTAATTGTTGCTGTATTTTTTTTTATTTGGCCTGTTTGTCTGTATGTTGTAGATTTTTTTTTTTTGGATAGGCAGACTTTAAAAATAAATCTGAATACTTTTCATGTAATCTTACAAACAGAATTATCTGAATAAACAAACATTTATTCATAAACATTATATCTCAATAATCAATGTTTATTTTATATTCATTAAGAAAATAATTAAGTTAATGCAATTTTACATAAGGAATATGACTTTTTCGAGTACGTTCATTAGCTTTTTTTTAAATGACTGCATCAGAAATTGAACTTAAGTTTCAGTAAATCCCATCTTAAATTTTCACAGTTAAATAAAGCTGTCTTGGAGGTAAATTTTAGATTAATTCATTATTGTATGGTATAAATGCAAATGAATCTGTCTGAAAAATCATTGCAAGCAAGAATGATGATAATGGTTGGCCCTGAGTTTATTATCTCTGAATGAATGATGGAATGAGATACATCTACATGGCAGTATTACTAGATTAAGTTTTGAATGTCAGGCTTTTAATTAGATGTTTCTATATATAAATGATGTGTATCTCCTCTTAATAAAGTTAGGGAATAAGTGATACTCATTATTTTTCTTTTTTTCTTTTTGAAGATGAAACGGCATGAAAAAGTAATATTCTCGTAAAACTAATCTGCAGTGTATAGTGTGTATGAGGTGTTTAACAGGATATTTTCTCCATTTTGAATCTCTGTCTATAGGCAAAGATTTGTTCTTGAATGTATTTAAATCTTAAATTAAGCTGTAATTGTACTTTTCGACTGAAAATCTTGTGTGTTAACACCAAGATAATTGCTAAATTAGCATGCTTGCAGTATGTTTTATTAAGAATGATAATCCTGAAAACTGTTCATCATTTCAAAAAATTGAAAATCTCTTTTGAAAGCAGAAGTGAAAATATCCTGTTCAACTATAGACCAACTAAAGACCAGTATTCATCTTGCTTTACACTGTTCTATCTAGCTTCTGTCTAAATGTTTTTCCTGTTGTAGTCTGGTGTTTCTGGGAAAGCTTTGCATGATGGGATTGCTATGCATGGCTTGGTGAAGGGTACTAACAAAACTAATTTCTTGCTCCATAGACTAGACTCTAACTTTGCATATCCTTCTGAAAGTACTAACTCTAAAAGTGACACAAACATTATCAGGCAATATGACAACAGTACAAGAGTCAGAGGAGAATTCATCCTCCAACATAAAAGATCTTCTGCAAGGGGAGAGAAATCCGGAAATGATGCCACAGAGCAAAGTGATTGTTACAAAAATAAGATGGAAGAAAGGTTGTCTTCTCCCGATTCAGTGGAGGATCCAGAGTTTTATTCTAAGACTCAGATGAGAAAGAGGCTAGATCACCTATTGCATTTACAGTCACAGAGAAATCCTCCTGAAATTGTCCGAGCTTCTGCCCCACCATTGTCCATACATTATTACAAACCTGTGGCCTTGAGGAGGTTTACCTACCTGCCGGGAAATGAATTAGAGTACAGCACAGCAAAAGAAAATGAAACTACCCATCTGTAGAAAGGGGAGATAAGCAGAAAGTGAAAGAGAGACTACCCATTTATAGAAGCTACAGGAAAGAAGTGGAAATGTTTTAGGGGGTTGTGGAGAGGGAGGGGGGTGTATTGGAAAGATGTTTTTTCTCAGTTAACAAAGAAATATTACAGTATAGTAATAAGGGGAGGATATGGTAATAAGTGTTAGTTGTCTGCATGCTGTAGTTTAGTTTTTCCTTTAAGTAAAACAATAATTTAGTGTATAGAATTTTTTTAGGTTTTCTTAAACCTATTGAAGTCATAAGAATATTATGGAATAGTCCAAACATACATCTTTCTAAAAATATTGTGAAATAAGTTCTGTGTATTTTTCCCCCAAAAGACAATTGGAGAGAAAGAGTTTTCAAGTTCAGTAACAGAACACATGATTAACTACTGTTGCAGAAAATTTTCTTCGAATCAGTACACGTTGTTTTTCTATGATGCTGTGTTAATTTTTCCATCAATGTTGCATGCAGTGATTTTCTGTTTTCATGAAGACAGAGGAAATGTGTTTTTCCTTCATATTGTGCTGTACACATGGTACATGTATTTGTGCTCTGTCAAATGTGAAATTTTTAGGTATATTGATATTATTGGGCTGTCCTCATTTTGATCTGATATCAAGATGGGACCCCAGCGTAATAGTTTATTTTATTGCAAACCCATGGCTAACTGCTAATAGGGATATTTAGAGTAATAAATCATGGTTCAGTCATATACAGTTAAACCTTGATATCTCAAACTCCATTGGTCTGAGAAAAAAAAAGAGATATAAAAGGATTGGAGATATTGAGGTTAGAATACATGAAGAAAAGGTGATTGGGACTTCCTTCTCACTTTCCATGATATTCTGGGATATTATGTTTGAGATACCAAAGTTCAGCTGTTTTTCTGAAGAAAAAAAATCCCCCCTTGTGATCTAGACTTCCTTAAATTTTAGTCATGTTTTCATCTTCTGTGAAGATTGCTATCATAACCAGAAACATTACATCTTAATCATCAGAAGATTATTCTATTTTAACTGATCATTATGGTGAAAAATACTTGTAACTTTAGTTTTGTAGTATCTTAGAAAATTATTGCTTTATTCTTTCATTTACACTTGTATTCAAGGTTTGATTGTTTGATATAAGTAAAAGCCCATCAATAGTATGCTTTAGTCTGTAGATGTAAACTCAGTTTGAATTCATGAATTTCTCTTCTTTTTTCAGAAGTAGAAGAAACTTTGAGAAAGGGTACATTTTATTTGCACCTCGTACTAAAGTTCATATGTTAACTATCATGATGACTTTAGCAAGTGGGAAGATTAGCAAACTAGCATTATAGACAATGGCTTATTACTTTCAAAGGAAATGGAAGATATATTAGATTTCTTCTTTTTTTTAATTTTAAGAAATAAAAATGAATATCATGTTTATTGTCTTAAAGACAAAGCTTGGGATAAATACAGTATATTGAGCTAATGTTGCTCTCATTTGTATATCTTTATTAATAAATGAAAAAAAAAAAAAGATTTAAAATCCTTAATCAGTATAATCAAAAATATGGGCTTTATTTGATTTTTCAAAGTATTGCTTTGTTTACTTTCATTACTTTGATTATTTTGCCAGTTTGCCCAATCTTTCACTTGAAAATGAATATGTAGGGGAAAAAATTGTGTTTCCCTGATACTTTCATTATGTTCCTGTTGTTTAGTGTTGTAGATAAATTAGGTCTTAGAATGATTTTTTTGAAATATACAATTACTTGTAATATGTAGTGGTATAGTAGTATTTTTTCCTTAAGGTCAAGATCTAGTAAATGACTTTAAACAGTTACTGTCTTTTTGGTGCTAGATCCATTATGACGTCATAATTGTTTTAAGCTTAATTTTTCCCGTACTTTATGGCTTTAAAAGAATTGTGTAGCAAATGAAGGATTTTCAATGTATTCAATTTGAAATCATGTCAAAAGTAACCCCAATATCTATATTCAATTTAATATCATTTTAAAATAGAGGTTAAGAAGAAATGAAAAACCATTTTCTGAGAAACTGTAGGCAATATTGATACATTTCTTTTATCTGAGATGGAAAAAACCACTAAATTTATACCTGACTTTCTTCGTTTTTCATTAAAAATTACAGTTTAAAATATGTTTTTTCGTCAAGTTTATCAAAAAATTATGTCCCGAAACACCCTATTTTTGCAAGCCATATTTGTAAAGGATCATAAAAAGAACTCGTTTCTCAAATTTGAAAAATTTGTAGGCATCTTTCATTTACTAGATCTTGACCTTAAAGATGGTTCTGCAAGCAAATTTGAATAATACATTTTTTGTACTCTTGTAAAGTACCTGTAAATTTATCTATATTGCTTTGTTTTGGAGAAAAAAATTCTAACCATTTGGCTTTCACCATTTATAAACAGTGACATCTTAAAGTTTTTTTTAATTAATTTCTTTCTTAAAATAATTATGGTATTTAAATTATGTGTTTTTCAAGTAATGTAGAACCATCTTTAGAGTATGATATAGACCTCCCTTAGATATTCTAGACAATTTTGTCAATTTAAACATTTATTTAAAGTAAATTAGGTGCTTGTGTTGTAATATAATGAAAGGGTGAACTTAAATATTTTTGAACTAAATGTTTAAAAATAATATATGGATTTGTTCTGATACCCATTGCTTTCTACTAAGGAGCACATTGCTCCATATATTAATTTGTTTATCTTAAAACAATTTTTCAGATAAAAAAAATCTTGAAGATTGATTTGTTAAACTATGAGATTTAAAGACATCCTTTGAGGTCAATATTACAGTCAAGGTTATCTTTTAAATTAGAAGTTTAATGTCAAATGGGAATTTAACTTCCAGGGTTTCCTCAAGTACATGTTTTGTGACTTCAAATTATCTTCTAATTTGTATAAAATTGATATCTTATAGTCAAGTCAAGGTCAAAATTAGAGGTATAAAATTGATATTTAATGGTCAAGTCAAATTGAAAATTCGAAATTTTAAAAGTACATGTTCTCTGACTTTTATCCATGAATTTTTTTTTTTTTTTTAAATTGATATCTGATATGTCAAGTCAAGGTCAAATTGTGAGGTCAAAGGTCGAACATGAATTTTACTACCTGATAATTTTTTTTAGTGTATTAATTTACATTGATTAGCAAATCCTTTTGAAATGTTAAAATACTGTTTATCTGTATGCTCCATTTGCCAGTTCCATGTTCTCTAAGTGGATTAGACAAAAAAAAAAAAAAAAAAAAAAAAAAAAAAACCAACCAAAAAAAAACCAATCCTTTCCCTTACCTCGAAATGTTGTACTCTAATTAATTTCAAGCATGTAAATTCTTTGGTGGTGGTCCTCTCATGTCTTGTATATTCAGAGCATCTTTTTACTACAGAGAATGAGACAAGTGTTTATAACGTAAGAGTATTGTTTTGTGAAAAGGTTAAACAAGTTTAGTAAATTGTTGTAATTCCTTAATTAATTTGTCTAGATAAACATGTAAATTTAATGTGATTTTGTTATAATTTGTGACAAAACGAAATTAGCTCAAACCTTTAAAACTGACCTATAGTAATTCCAAAAATGTGTACATATACTAAGGAAAAAAATTTTAATGGGAGTCAATATGTTGACTGCATGACTGAGATTTACAACAAAGAAATGGATATTGGAGTAAACCACTAAAAAAAAATTGGTAGTTTTATATTACAAATGTTAGTTTACTCATATAAATGTGAAAAATCGTAAAATTTAATCACTGATTGAGAAATATATGCATTAGATTGGAAAGTGAATGTTAGCTTACATGCATTTTTTCCTGATGAAAATTCATAAATTAATAAAATAATTGATATGTTTTTATCTCTTATAATTAAGTTGTGAATTTTTCCAGACATGATTATGTCTAGAAAGTAAAAATGTGAAAGAATTCCTGAAAATATAATGAACTTTGTTGAATCTAAAGAGAGCAGTCTTATAGCTGTCAAGTTTTGGAGATATCTATTTAAACTTCATGAAAGCCTGTGTTCTGAGAGAAAATTATGTTATAAAATATATATAGATATCAAAATGATGATTTTAGGAAAAAAATTATATTCAGTTTAACTGAGCAAGATCTCTACTATTTCACATGAAAATGACCTTCGATTTAAGTATCCTGTATTTTATTTTATTTTTTCTCATTTTCTGTTTTCAGACACACCTCTGAAGAAGTTTGAAAAACAGATCATCAAATCAGTTATCTAGGGCAATGCTCTGCCAAATAAGGACATATAGGCAATGTAAATGCTACTGACTAGAAAACATGGACCCAGGGCAATAGTTCATGATATTGCCCTAGAGAGAGGGAAATATGGACCCAGGGCAATATTTCATGATATTGCCCAAGAGAGAGGGAAATATGGACCCAGGGCAATAGTTCATGATATTGCCCTAAAGAGAGGGCACTTAGATATATCATCTACTGACTCATAACTATTTCATATGTTTGTCCTTTTCATGGTGCTTGAATTCCTTCTTGTTTTTCTTTCTCTCTAAAACACTTTTCTAAGAAGGATTTGAGGTTTTCTTTCAGATATATATAAATTATTCATTTTCTTTTCACTTTGTAACACAGAAACAACAGAAAATATGTTAACAAGATTTTCCTTGCCATTATTGCACATGTAGAACAATGGTTTCTGTTTGTTTTAATATATTACAAATTCAAAATCTATCACATGATGATGTGGAATCGCAGTTGCAAAGAAAACAAGACATTTCTCTAAAAAAGTGGAATTCTTGGATTTGCTTCTTTGGTCAATAAATTTTCTGCAATTGCCATAAAGTTTGTGAGAAAGAAATCTAGACACAATTTCAAAGTCTGATCATGCATCTGTATGTATTTATTTTTATAGTTCAGAGGTCAGAGTTCATCTAGAGGTAACATTAAACAATTGCATCTCACATCATGTGTACTAATTTAGGTACAGTTTTATGTACCAATATTTACAACAGATTTCAAAAAAAGAATATGTTCCCCATTTTTGTAAATTATATTTTGCAAAAAATAAATTTTATATTTATGCTCTTTTGTAAGATAGGTCCTTGTAATGTTGCTGAATCTAAATTTTAAATAATGGAATTGAATAGACGTAAGTATGGAAACAGTTGTTCACCATCCAGGGAGAAAAGTGTTAATTTTACGATACTTAATCTATTGTACAGGTTGAGTGTCACATTTTTCACTGAATGGAAGATCATGGATATATTTGACACGTTTTTCCCCTACAATTTTTGTAAAAATATCATTTGAAGAGCATTGAACAAAATATTCATACATCGTTGGTTAGAAGAACAATAAAAACCTGATTCTTGTAACAATTCATAGAATATGAGGTTTTACTTTATAAAGTACTAGCACATTTGACAGACATTTTTTTTACATACAAATATAGTAATGGCTACAAAGTGCTCTTTGAATAAGCTGGCATTGATAAAATATAATACAATTTTTAAATTTTTGATTCAAATCATCTTCCATATCTCCATTTGTGAATCATCAGAGAAAAAATGTTAAGTAACATAATTGTACTGGTACATTTTATAGTTTTATTGTGGTCGATCCATTCTTTTAGTATAAGCTACTGTCTTGGTGTAGAATATTGCATACAAATGTAATTACTGCTCATATTTAAGGGATAAGATAATACTTTTTTTTTTTCCTGTGGAAAAAGGGACAAAGTGATGAATGGCTTTTGTTGATGCTCTTGATATGTAAATTGTTTCTTGCAAAACACTGTCGTTACAAAGAGCAGTGCTATTAAATATAGCTTAAAGCAGATTCCAAATGTTGCTGAAGTATTTTTCACCTAATGTACACATTGATATGAAGTTAATTTTTTTTTTATATTAAAAAAAAGTTTGAGGTATGTTAATATACTATTATGGCTGCATTGACCATGTTAACATTGCCTATAACATTTTTTTATGCATAAGCTGAAAATCTTTCTTTTGACAAACTTTTACATAGGAACATTATAAATTATCCTACTATGCCGAAGAATTAAATACCGGGTATTTCATTTCGAAAATGGGATATGCAATGAAATGAGGTTGAATTATTGTGAAAATGGTGAAATTTGCTCCGCATTGCCACAGTCTCCAACAGGGGGCGCTTCACATAACATTTTAAATACACAAACTCGGACATGCACACTTGACAAACGTCATCTATGCCGACAAATCATACAGCGGTATTTGATTCATTTCTTTGGCACAGATTTTGAACCATGTGTGATACCACGATGAAATTTGGGTTACGTTATTAAGGCAATAATCAAATGGCATTATACAATGGATGCAGTGTACCAAAATGTTCTCCACATCGACACTACCTCATAACGATGTTGTCAATATTAATAGAATTTTCACCCTATCATTGTTTCTCAATAGAACATTATTAATTTATCATGTAATGAATTCCTTTCTTTTAGATTTGAAAGGCACATTTGTGGAAAAAAAAAATGTATGTGAATCAGTTCGGTAGGGAACATGAGATTGAGCCCCCTAGCAAAATGTAAAACAAAAAATGATTCTGGAAAAACGTATAGGACTTATAGTGTTTCTTTGTCCCTAAGCATTTAAATTGCAAATTTCATACTGTTGTGTTGAAAAGTCTACAAGATAATGCAGTTATTAGTTTTTTGCTTCCTAAGGGGTGTCTTGTATTTCAGAGATATTATAAGGTTTTCATTCAAATTATTAACATCTAGCCTTTGGTTATTTAATTCTTTTTTTTTTAAGGATGTGTTAACATGCACTGCAAATGTCTTTCAAAAGGTTCCTATCATTTCAAATGTTATATCTTTTGAGCTCTTTGATAATGCTATATTAATATGTCATAATAATTATCTGTATATTTTGTATTTAAAGATCTTATCATGAATTAAATATGTTGAACATAGATTATTTTTGTTGATTTTTAAAATGTTTCTTTATTTGGTTGTATCATGTATGGAGTAGATACATATGTATTGTTACGTAAATTATGCCCAGATTGATGATGGGGAAGGACTAAAATATTTTGTATTGACTACGCATGGTTTGAACTCATTGAAAATGCTGTACACGTTGTGTAATCAGGGAAGCTGCCATTGCTTTGCCCGGAAGTGTCGGTATGCTGTAGCGAAAGAAAGGAAGTGTGCATGTGCATGAAATGTTGGCAAGCTTATTATTGTGGGAATTTTTTAAGGACAAGAAAGGGGTGAACCGGAAGTTGGAGAAAGGTAAATAGGACACGGACAAAAAAAATATGGGAGTTGAAAGTGAGAGTGCTGGCTCTATCAAAATTTTCAAATTTCATGATTCATGGGGCTACGTTAATTATATACTGAAAATAGTTTACTTCTCTCAAAGTCTTTAATCTGCTAATGCATAGACATCTAGCCGGAAATATAATGAGCAGCTACTAGCACCTTTACCCAAATTGTGATCGAAGTTTAAGCTCCTATTGTTCAAGCTTGTGGTAGGGGCCTCTAAATTGGTCATGTATTATAAAAAGTCCATTTGAAATCTTTGATCATGGAGTCATGGACACAGATACAGGAGGCATATTGCAAGATTACATAATTTATCTATAATCGTTTTAATGGGAGACCACTTGATTCTGAGAAGGGGGTTGGGTGGGCTGGGAAGTTTTTAAAAGTCAGATTTATTTTCATGCCAGTCAAGGGTAGATTACCGGGATATTTACTTTCAGGATTATTAAGGACAGATTATTTATTTTCTTGTTCAAGAAGAAAAAGTTTGACAAGCATATAATAAAGCTTATAATATGCTGTATATCATTGAAGAACGGATCCAGGAATTTCTTTCAGGGGGGATCCACCCAAGTCAAAAATATTCCAACCCAGAAATTTCTCGACAAGCAAAAAAAAAAAAAAAAAAAAGAAAAAAAAAGAAAAAAAAACCAAACTACTATCCATTTCCCATTTTCCCAAACGCGAAAAACCTTATTCGTGGTAGGGGGTCCACGTTCTGTAGGGGGAGGAAAGTAAAGTCATTCTTTATTTGCTTCAGTATAAACTTTTAAACGCTGCAAAGGGGGGGGGGGTCCGGACCATCCCCCCTCTCTAGATTCGGGCATGTCATTGACGATACAAGTGAGATTCTAAACCTTAAGGCCTAGGGGTTTGGCATATAGACATTGTGATTCCTTAACTCAGTGGTAGATCCAGGATTCTTGAAAAAGGGGAAGGGGGGTGCTCTAATTAATGCTAAATTGACGATTTCCTTTGAAACCTTTATTTGTTACAGATTTGAAAACATAAGAACATTATCTTTAAATTTCGTGCGGACATCTGTGACTTGAAAATAACGTTTCGGGTTTTCTTGAAAGACAAATATTTTGTTCATTTTTACATTTCGTTTCAAAGGAATTATTCGTTGCTCGATTTACTTTTGTTTTTATTCCATCGGGTTCGGAATCCTAATCGTTGACCTTGGCAGAGGAAACCGGAGAGGAGACAAAAATGGTGGTCGGTTTAGTGACACGAACGACTTCTAAGGTGGCAAGGACGGCGTCCCGTCAAGTAGCCAGAAGAAAGATGAGCAATGAAGTCGTCGAAGAACCTAAAAAATACAACCTACCAGATTTCGACGACACATCTTGTGATCCCCATAAAGTAAGGGGATATTGTAAATTGTGTTGCGAAAAACTCATTTTCTTTTCTCTCTCTCCTCAGAGACTTTAAAATATATAGTAAAAAGAATATATTTCTTAATCACAGAGCTGTTTTTTGATTTAATGTACACCGCAAGGGAAAATCCATGAATTTTTCCTTAGAGTTTATAAGGCCAAAAAAAATAAAAAATAATAATAATAGTCTCGTTTCCTGCTACCAGCCTGAAAAAAGTAGGGTAGGTAGGTAGGAAAATTATTTTATTTTATATTTTTATTTTTTTTTTTCTGACAGCATTTTTTGGATATGAACTAATATATGATCAAATTAAACATATCACAGGTCAATATTGTCTTTTAAAAAGAAAATTTCATGTCTTTTTACGCACAACTCAAGAGGTATTTTATGAAAGTCCATATTTAAAACAAGAATTTCATGAAATGCTTGTTTTGTGTTAACATGGAAACCGATTACGGTGACAGAACGATGAAATTCTGGAAATTCCCGATTTTTTTCTTCCAAAACTTAAAAAAAACTTTAGGGTCGGGTGCAAAAAAATAGGGTAGGTCGGGTAGTAGGAAACAAGACTATAATTTTTTTAAGACTATAATTTTTTTTGCTAATCATACTCAGTAGGTCCATCCCTAAGACTATTTCAGTGTACTATATGTTATTATTGAGTTAAAACCCATGTTAAAAAAGTGAATTAGTCCTACCAAAATTCGACATTTTTTTTTTCATAAAATAGCAACTTTTACCTTCAGTATGTTTATGTTCTAACCACATGGTCAGCTAGATAGAATGTTCTATCGTTAAAGTGATATTGTCCTATGGACCCAGTTTAAAGCTGAACACGACTCGTAAATAGGCATACGCCATTTTCGATATTACTATCTTAGATATCAGCACCAGGGTATACTCTTCCCATTCGTTTTACACCTGGCTGCTTTATTGTCACGGGTATCGGCGTGGAATGTGGACACGTGTTCATGCTGGTTATCTTGCATTACTTTTTTTTACATTTTATTGCAGTTAGGCATATTTGTGTTTGTTTGTATACTGCACTGACCTGTGCAATTGATATAAATCTCTTTGGTATCTTACTCTCCTGCATTAGAAGAAGCTTACAGGTATTTTTGTCATTTCCAAGTGCTGTATACATGTACATGTAGCATACGTCCGTCTACACCGGTGACAATTGATTACACTGAACAGTGACCAAGTGCAGCTCTATATATAGAGGCCCTCTGATATAGCGAGAGTCCAATCGAATATGGCGGACAGATTCTTTATATGAAGCATGTTCAACTTTAGTGATAGAATTTGTTCCGCGTATTGGCAGTGTAGCAAAATAAACATGGAGGATAACTCTAACTCTAAACACAATGTTTGAGACGTTAACATGGTTAAGAATTGTTTTCAAGGTGAATTTTAAAGTAACAAAGAAATATTTTGAAGTTAAATTCATGAAATTAAGGATTAAAATAGATGTAAACCCAATACCAAATAAAAAAAATTTACAGAACCAACCCGAAAAATTTTGGAACCATGACAGCCCTACTGACTGAAGGTATTTAAACCTACTCCAGGGAGCTACTTTTACCTACATTTTGCTTGGCTTGCATTTCTTGACCAACAACATTTCTTGAGCGACAAAAATTGAAGGTTTTCACTATGCTTGGATCTGTAGCTCTCTGGTTTGTCTGTCAGAATTTTTTCAACCAGAAAGAGAGCTTCATTTCTGCAGATACAAACACTTAACAGATATGACCAAAACAATCATTTAGGCTAAGCTCTGACATACAAAAACAAGACTAACTGATTTTAGTATATTATCTGTTAGTCTTGTTTTTGTATGTCAGAACTTAGGAAAACATAAAAAAAAAACAATTTTTGGCCTGCATGCAAAGAATTATTCAAACAACAAAATTTCTATGTGCATTATCTGAGAGTAAAAACTTATTATTAAAATCATAAAATATGATGTTCAGTAGGTAGCAAAGGATTTTTTTTTGAAAAAAAGTCCATAAACTTGGAAGACTTTAAGAAAAAGTACATTAGTTTTATTTCATCCTCACACCTGTAAGTTCTCGGTGAAAATTTTCCTCAAATCAACTGATTAACGAAACACTGATTAAAACTGGCTACTTTCTATTGACATGTTATTGTTTATAACAGAACTCATGAGACTTCAAATTTATTGTTAAATCATATTTCAAAAAAATTTTTTTTGAAGAAATGATTGGAGAAAGCTGTGTCCCTGACTGTTCAAACAAGATAAATAATTATAATTATGTTAATTTCCTTTCCAGTTTTGGCCATTTTCCTGGAACAGACAGCTGCCCTTCACATTGAAGTATGCTCTGTACACATCGTCAGGCTTCAGTTTCCCCTACTTAATTGTGTACTACCAGATGGTTCTAAAAGGTATGTAAACTTCATAAAATAGTGGTAGAACTATAATCAGAACTCAACTACATTCAAACTTTGTTATCTCAAAATCAATTTGGTCAAGAAGAAACTTGAAAAAAATTGGTTAGGTTTAATGCAAGTTTAGATATGTCATGCAAATTCACAAAGATTTTTTGAACGGTTGGTCAGCGTTGAAAATTAAAATCAACAATTGGCCAGTAGTAATTTTTTCAAGAATAAGGACATTTGGCCAAGACATGCAGTTTCTCCCTTGGCCATGTAAATGAGCTGTCTGTATGTCCTTTAGATTGAAATAAAAGACTGTCATTATGCTCAGATGCTTGAGTCAGTTAGGAAAAAAATCTGATATATACAGTGTACATCAATTACTCAGAATTTCAGACACACTCTTATTTGAATTTTTTTGTCCAAGTTAAAAACTGCTTGTCTATATACTAAATGTGTTTTTTTTTTTTACTATTGTAGATTAAAAGAGAAAAAAAAGAGTAACAGCAAGAAAAGTTTATGGACTCTGTGATTTTCTCACTCAAAAGTTTTAGCATTTTGAATGTATGAAGACATTAGGAAGAAATAAAAATTTATGATCACAAATAAGATGTTTTTTTTATGCAAGTTTTTTAGCTCTGATATTTATCTAGTAAAATAGAAAAAAATATGAACAATCCTTAAAAAATGTGGTAGAGTCTACAAGATCTTGGTCTCAAAAAATAAATGTCAGGGCAGTAGGAATGTCTGTATAAAAAAATGATTAAATTTGTCATGAGTTAAAATCTGTTGCAAATCATTTTTATGATTTTTATATGCCCGT